ATTTGCCCTCACTCTCAGGACATGGGGCTGGAATCTTGGACATTGATTGGCAAGAAAAGGAGACTCAACATTTCTTTAAAATTTAGCTTGTTATTGAGGGCTGGTTGATTTTTACCTATAACTCTCTCCTGTTCCTTCGCTGCCCTCCTGTTTTGAAGAAGACAATTGGAATTCTCTCCAGAAGGAAGAAACTAAGTTGCTGGTGGACCACATTGTGGTGGTTCTTTGCTCCCGGAAGGAGGAAACACGACCATCTGCCGCCCTCTGCTGTTCAAATAAAAGCAGATTCCCAAGCCCTGTCTATAGCAGCTTCGTCCCCTTGGGTTTGCGTCTCCCAGAGAGAGAACATGTGCTTTTTGTACAAGTGTCATCTTGCCTCAACATCCATTCTGATTCCAGCTCCCTGCTCTTTTCCATCTACCACTCTCTGCGGACACTCAAACTGTTTCTAAAGAAGGAAAACATTAGGCTTCAAGAAATATGTGTTAGCTTATGATTACCCCTTCCAGCCCCGGGCGGGGGTATCTCAGGTCTCGGCACACACCAACAATGATCATTAGACAAGGTGGTCAGGAGGCCTAGATTCTAGTCTTCTAATTGGGTAAGTTAATTTGATTGGACACATACCTGGCCTTCTGCTATGTGCAAGATGCTATGTTAAGCAGCATGGCTTAATGGTGCATAAAACATAGAAAAGGGTTACTATCTTCAAAGGGTTCGTGAGTCTGGTATGGTAATAGCATGCAGGGAAGATGTTGTGATAGACAGAAGCACGGGAGCAGAGCACTAGGTACCAACCTCGGGAAGAGCAGGGAGGAGGAAAAGATCGCTATCGCCTCTCAGGCATGAACTGACTGATGAGATTCCAGAACAAGTCCCATTCCAAATGATGGAAATAGGAAAACACTTCCAAGTTCATGGCAAGACATTTTCTCAACTCCCACCAAATTAGGACCCCACCCCTTGATTGACTGATTAATTCGACAAATACCAATTGAGCCCTTATGTGCCAGGGATTGTGCTAGGCTCCAAGGCAACAACAGTGAGCAAGGTTCTTGCCCACGTGGGCCTTGTAGTTCCCAGGGAACCACAGACAAATACCTAGGCTGTTCCACTGCAGTGTGAGGAGGCTGCCGTGGCCCTCTTCCAGTCCATAACCCAACTTGCTTCAAAGTAGAAAGAGGAAAAATGAGGGAGGAATCTTCCATGGATGTCACCCAGAGTCAAAGTTAGAAAAAGCATTAGCATGGACTTCAGCCGGGCTCTTGTTCCTTGCTAGAGGAGTTTAAAGGGGAGAACTAGGTAGCAATGGGATGAAGAGCAAGGTTGGGGAGCAAAGGTAGGGAGGCAGGGCTTTGACATCAAGAACAAAGTGTCACAATGCTTTTCCAAGGCCGTGCCTGTGCACAGATGGTGGAAGGAGCACTGTGTGACCTTACACGAACTTCCCTGTCCCATCTGGAAATGGGAACAAATAACACCTGCTTGGTACATCCTCCCAGAGTTTAGGATGAATGAATGAAGGAGTCTGTGAGTGGTTTATGCCAACTACATGATATTACACAAACCACTGGTGTTATTGCCATTATTGGCAGTGCTTGGGCCGGCCGACAGAGGAATGAAGCCTGATGCCTTCCACGGGCCCCTTCCAGCTAGAGAACCTACAAGTAGCCTTGTTGGCAACCTTTCTCTCCAAATTCCCGCTAAGTCTACCTCCAAATTAGGAAGATTTGCTTTTTAAATAATGTATGTGTTTGATAATATCCTGAATGCAGTGGGGAGTGATGGGAAAGAGGACTAAGAAATTCCCTCAGCATCAGTTTGTTTTATAGAATAGAATTACTACCACAGCGCAGATTTATGAAACCCACTTAAAATGTTACAGTGAAGGAATGGGCCATTTGTCTCTTCCATATGTCATTTGTCTCCTCCCTGTCCCTCCCTGCATGTAATCCCTGTCTGACTCCCTTGTGTTTTCCCATTGGGATGGGAAGTACAGGCCACTGGACAAAGCTGGTAACATTCCCAGATCGTTTCTACCCTGAAGTCCTGACAGGGAAGGTGGGGCGAGGGAGAAGGCAGAGCTCTGTGTCTGTTGGAGGCTGGTCAGCCAGGCACCATCCTGGAAGCTGTGCTGAGGTCACTGAATTCCACCTTCCCCACCAGACTTTCGGCCCAAAGAGGGTGCTGAGCATGTTGCTGAGGGCCACAACCAAAGACCAGCTCAATAAATCTTTATCAGAACAAATCAGCCCTTGCATCAAACAAGCTTTCCGGTGGGCACCATTATCTCCAATTTCCAGCTAAAACTAAGGCCTAAGAGGCTTAACAATGTTGTCCAAGGCAAGAGACTGTGTCTGGCTTGGGGTCTGGATACTATGTGCTCTGTCTGCTCCTGGAGTTTATATTCGTTCCGGAGTGGAATGCCGCTGAGAACCTCCTCTCTCAGAGGCAATGGATTTTCTTGTTTTTATTTATCATTCCCCAAAAGTTTGTTTTCCATCTGTGTTTGAAAACAGGCTCTGATCAAATATTATTAGTAATATACCCCGAAGTCATTATTTTATAGATTACATGGACCTAGTTCCAGATTCTGCTTATGAATTCTTGGAAGAACTGGAATGAGGACAAAGGTCAAATACTCATTCAACCAACATGTATAAAATGCCCATTTCACAGCAGAAGCCAGGCTAGGGGCCAGAGGTCCAAGAAAAATAACATCCTCTGGTCCTTAAGGAACTTACAGTCCAGTAGCGCTGTGTTCTTTTCTCCTTTGAAAAAGATTATTAAAAAAGTGAAACATATGGACTGCAGGATATTTGGAAAGCCCAGGTAAGAAGAGAAAGAAAAAAATCATCCGAAATTCAGACATCTTATAAATCCTGAGGCTGGGGCCTCCATCCTAGCATTTCTGGATCAGTAAAATCTTGCACCAGTCTGGAGGAGGAGACAATGTTTTTTGAACTGGAGAAAAGCCACCCTTGATCTCGCCACCCTGTGAGAAGCCACGATAACATTTAGAAAATATTCTTCATCTCCTTTTCTCGGACTGTGAAATGACTGGTGCAGATATCGTTCTCTCTGCCTCACCTAAGCTGGGGGAGACCTTTGTGGACCCCTCAGCACCTTGCCCACCCTGTGCCCGGGCTGTTCCCCTGCCACAGCCCCATGTCTCCTCATAAAGAGGGGAGGTCTCTTGGGTGGGGGAAAAGCAGCTTTTACCAAATCCCCCCACATCTCCCTGCCCCACCCCAAAAAAGCCTCAGGGGCAGGGAGTTGGTTTCCAAAACCAGTTCCTTTGGATAGAGGGGGCTTTCAGGGGCTTTCCTCAAACTAGGGCGCACATTGACTCCCCCAAAGCAGCTTTCGAAAAACCCGATGCCTGGTTCCACTTCACACCAACTGAAAGAATCTCTAGGCCTGAGGTCCAGGCATTGATTTTTTGTGTTTTTAAAGCTGCCAGGGTAAAGGATTGAGAACCACTGATTTAAAGGAAGGCGGGGCAGTGGTGTACGTGGCCTTTGAGACTGGCAGAGGGCGCTGCCGTGGTCAGTCTCAAGACTGGGCAGCCCCAGGACTTGGCATGGAGAGAACTTTCCGCAGCTCACTTCAGGAAAGAGCTGGGTGCTGTATGTGGGTAGCTGGTTGGCAAAGGGGGAAAATAGCAACTTTGTTCCAAAGGGCTCACATGGATCCTGATTAAGGGTGTTCACATACACCAGACAGAAAACGTGTTCACATACGCCAGACAGAAAACGTGTTCACATACGCCAGGAGTAACTATGGGGAGATAAGTATGAATGCCACAATGGGCCACTGGTAAGGCAGGTGAGCTCTCTGGCTTCATTTATGAGGGAGAGAAGAATTTTACACCATAAACTCTGAGAGAAAAGCCACTGTAACAGTAGGCTGCTTCGCAGAAGGAGGATGACTAGAATTAGATCATCTTTCTTTCCTTAAGCAGAAATATTGAATACTTGCTATTTGTCAAGCATTGTGCCAACCACTTGACCTAGACTACTCATTTCATCTTTGCAATAACATTTCGTAGTGCGTATTAGTTATCCCCATTTTATAGGGAAGGAAATTGATGTAATAAATCTTAAGTGATTATCACATGAAACAAAGGAGATGAGCCCCAGGCTTTCTGACTCCGAAACCCATGTTTCATTCACCCTGCCAAGCTTTATAACCTGCACTCACGTGATTAGAGGGAAAACAAGATGAATGAAAATCAAGAAGGGGTGACTTTTCAGCATGGCTAGTTGGCCGGGAGTCCATCTTCTGTGAAGATCTGTGGGGTCACAAGGGGGCCTTTCCAGTGTGTCTTTGCCAACCAGCCATGTGAAGGTCAGGTCACTTCACTGGCCTAGGTCTGTGTTCTCAGCTAGACAAAGCCAAAAGGGCTAGTACCCCTAGGTGATTTTCAAGCTGCCCTATGCTGGGGACAGGATGGATGGGCATGACCTTCCCTTTGCCCCACAACCAGACAAGCTCTGCATGCAGCTGCTTGAAGAGGACCTTCCCCTGTTTGGGGTGAGGGGGCTGCCTCTGGAAGAGTATTCCAATCTGATACAGCTCTGCTGCTCTGTTTTTGAAAACCTGTGAGGCTGGGAAGACCCAGTGCCAACTCATAGCTCGAGTGCAGAAGGAAGCGGGCAGGGAGCATGGCTTTTATGCATTCGACAGGGAGGACGAGCCCCTGGGGAAGTGAAACGCAGGAGAAGGGGGCCGGCTAAAGCCAGCAGAGCTTGCCGTCATGATACACCTGTGTGGGTCCCTGGGCCACCCAGAGGAACGTGAAGAACTAGAGCAGAGAGGAGAGGAGAGCAGGTGCCGGGGTTGTTCCTGCGATGCTGACATGGTCGCAAGCAAGAGAGCCTGGCCTCCAGGCCTCGTCTCCCTAAACTGTACTTCCTTTACTCAAGACGGTGGAAGTCTCCTGTTCTCCACTAGTAGCTTAGGATTTAAGCAACTTTCTGTTTCTTTGTGTTTTTCAGATCTTAAATCCAAATTTCATCCAAGAAGGTGAGTTACAAAGTCGAATGGAGAACACGGGGACTGGCTCAATAAATTGTGGCAGATCCAGCCATTGAGGGAGAGGCGGAAAATAATGGGGATGTGGTTCTGTGCTATGGACAAGGAAAGGCGTGCATGATACACTGTGGGAGTGGAAAAGTCCACAACTTGCGTTATGTGTAATTTGTGTAAGAAAAACGGTGTTGGTGAAAGCCCAAAGGATGTAGACCAAGACATTCGCAGTAGTTACCTCTGTATCAGGACATCATGGAGACTTTTCCTCTTTTTACTTATCTGTATTTCCTGATTTTCTGCAATAAACTTTTCTTACTTTTAAAACCCTTCTTCATGGAACACGGATGACTTGACAGTATTAAGCTGAAGGTCATTTGAATCACTACACGTGCGTGGGCAGGGGAGAGTGGTATAAAACGGCTGTTTATTGTGTTTGTTCTAAATGATGCTTTACGTCCATCTGACCACAGTGGCCCCAGAATTCCTTGTGCCCTTAGTGGATGTGACCTGCTTGCTTGGGGACACAGTGACACTGCAGTGCAAAGTCTGTGGGCGGCCAAAGCCCACCATCACCTGGAAGGGGCCAGACCAGAACATCCTTGACACAGACAACAGCTCAGCCACATACACCGTCTCCTCCTGGTAAGCTCCACAGAGACACCGCCAGCACCTTGGTTCTTTAGCCTCTGGGGGTGGGGGGGGGGTTGGGTGCCCTGGAGCTTATTCTCGCCCCAATACTTGGCCTCGATGAGGAGAGAAATGGAGTCAACATCCATGGGCAGTTCAGGAAAGCGTGCTCTCACACAATGGTATGTCAGGGCTGGGAGCTGTAGGACAGCCCCCGCTGCTCCCTGCCACGAGCAGGTCAGACACAGAGGAGAGGGGTGCCCAGCACGTGGTCACGTGCTACTGAACAGCACATTGACATACCTGCACCTGCAAGGACAGTTTGGCAAGACTGCATTCTGGACCCACACTCAACAAATAAAAACATACCCCTCTATATCTTGGGTTAGGCATGAGCCGTACTTTCAAAGAGCTTTGACAGTCACCGACTTACATCCGCCCGACTGGCTGATCTTTCCCCAAGGATCCCCAAAAGAATCTCTGTGTCAACAGTAGTGGCAAAGGCTCCAGCCCCGTGGAAGGAATGTGGGTCTCACCTCCCAACATCCTGGTGTTTCTTTGTGCCCGTCGGGATCCTGAGAAACAGTGATCTGTTGAATTCCTCCATTAACCTAAGAACAGTTTTCTTAGAAGAAAAAAAAACTTTCTCCAAAATATGCGATGTTAAACAGAAAATCCAGCCATACACATGCTTCCACAAAGAAAGCCTATTTAAAAAAAAAAAACTTGGTTGACTGCCTCCTAATCATTCTGTTAGTATTTATTGTGTAATGCTGTTTACAGTGGATAAGCAATAATGAGCCCTTAAGTGTTTGAGCATTTATCAAAGAATAACCTAGAATCAAACTCCCATCCATTAACTTAATTTTTGTGCATATGAAATGGTATTCCCAGCAATGATGGCCAGGGATGGCCAGGTCCTGAGGTTAGCAGGCCCATGGAACTTAGTGGGGGAGTCAGTGTTTGGCTTCGTCTGTTTCCTCAGGGGGTTGGCAGTGGAGTTGACCTGACTGCTGTGTGTCATCCTTTCTGAGCATTTAGTGGCGAAATTCGACCTTTACTTAATTCACGTAATTTTTTTTTTTAAGATTTATTTATGTGACAGAGAGAGACACAGCGAGAGAGGGAATACAAGCAGGGAGAGTAGGAGAGGGAGAGTGAGAAGCAGGCTTCCTGCTGAGCAGAGAGCCTGACTTGGGGCTCGATCCCTGGACCCTGGGATCATGACCTGAGCTGAAAGCAGACACTTAACGTCTGGGCCACCTAGGCACCCCTCATGTAATTGTTTTGAGGGTCCCCTAGTAGAATTTGAAATTCTTAAACATTTCATTCTCATTCGTTCCATTTTCCTTTTCTTTTCTTTGTTTATTAAATCTTTTTTAAAAGATTTTATTTATTTCCTTGAGAGAGAGAGAACAAATGAGAGAGAGAATAGGAGTCAGTGTGGGGAGGGGCAGAGAAAGAGGGGGAAGCAGGCTCCCTACTGAACAGACAGCCCGATGTGGAGCTCGATCCCAGGACCCTGAGATCATGACCTGAGCCAAAGGCAGAGGCTTAGCCGACTGAGCCACCCAGGCATCCCTTCTTTTTTTTTTTTTTTTTTTTTAAAGATTTATCTATCTGAGAGAGAGAGCGAGAGAGAGAGAGCGCGTGCGAGCGTGGGGGATTGAGGCAGAGGGAGAGACAGAGAAAATCCCAACCAGATTCCATGCAGAGGACCCCAATCCCAGGACCCCAAGATCACTATCTGAGCTAAAACCAAGAGTCAAACACTTAACCCACTGTGCCACCCAGGTGCCCCTCCCTTTTCTTATACAGTGTTTTATCGATGTTTGAGACTGAAAATATTTTAGGACAAAACTGCTAGTGGTAATAATACCAGTAATATTGTATAGGACTTTATATATTTCAAACCATATTCTTTTTATTTTTTTTTTATTTTTTATTTTTTATAAACATATATTTTTATCCCCAGGGGTACAGGTCTGTGAATCGTCAGGTTTACACACTTCACAGCACTCACCATAGCACATACCCTCCCCAATGTCCATAACCCCACCCCCTTCTCCCAACCCCCCTCCCCCCAGCAACCCTCATCTAATTCTTATCTCGTTTTACTCCTTTTCTATCCCTCTGCCCTTTATACAACACACATGAGAGATGCGAGTGGCAAGAATGTCCCCCCATGAAGAAATGGGAATATAGAAAGACAAGGTGACCACCCAAGGTGTGTAGGGAAGTCCCAGAGCTGGGATGAGACCTTGGGCCTGAGGATTCAGCTCAGCACCCCGCATGCCCACCCTCTGGGATTTTATCCATCAGTCAATTGTGTCATTACTAGAGTCTAAAGAGCATCCTTTTGGTGTCCCTAGTGATTCAGGGGAAATCACCTTGAAGATCTGCAATCTGATGCCCCAAGACAGTGGGATTTATACCTGCATAGCAACAAATGACCATGGCACCACGTCCACGTCTGCTACAGTTAAAGTGCAAGGTACAGGCTCTCTGTTCATCCAACACCTTTTATAATTTTAAAATATTTTTATTACGGTAAAATATACATAACATTTTTCATCCTAACCAATGTTAAATGTACCTTCTGCAGTGTTGAATACATTCATATGTTTGTGCGACCGATCTCCAGAATTCTTTTCATCTTGCAAAACTAAATCCTATAACCATTAAACAGCAGCTCCCCTCCCTGCCCCCGCTGCCCCTGGCAGCCACTGTTCTACTTCCTGTCTCTATGAATTTATGTGCGTCAGATATTTTAAGTGGACATTACAAGGGCTCCCTGAGACCTGGGGAAGAAAAGGTCCATTGTGAAATCCCAAAGTCCAGCAAAGGGGAGAGAAGGAATCTTCCCTAAGGGCTATCTGTGGCCCGCCATAACTTCCTGCATGCTTTCCCGGTCAGCCTAGTCCCCAGCATGCAGTCTTTAGCCCGAGGAAGAACTTCTAACCCCAAAGCATATCTGCCAGGCCTCTCCAGGGCCTGGAGAAAGGTATGCCATTGAGTGGAAAGGGTGTAGGAAATAATTGAGACATGGGGAAGCACGTTTCCTAGGAAACATCCAACCTTGGTGCAAAATGTCAAGTTCCTCAGAAAGAGCACTTGACCATAACTTCCGTCTCCGAAGGTGTTCCGGCGGCCCCTAACCGCCCCATTGCCCAGGAGAGAAGCTGCACCTCCGTGATCCTCCGCTGGCTGCCTCCCTCCAGCACGGGAAACTGCACGATTTCTGGTTACACCGTGGAGTACCGAGAGGAAGGTGAGCTGGCTCCCCCCTGCTCTTCCCTTTCTTTCTTCCCTTCCTCCAAAGGGGAGGTCCTTCAGAGTCATAAACTACTTGCCTTCAAGCTTTTCATCAGGTGTTCCTTCTTGTGTCTTCCAATTCAGCATAAACACCTCCTGGCAGACTACAGCTGCCTTCTGACCTCTAACTTCGAGCAGTGGTTTTCGCCAAACTGATAATGACTCCTGGTAGATTTCAAAGTGCCTTCCTGGGCACTTCTGTCCTTAATAAGTCCTATCCCCCAGACGGGCAATCAGGCCCCTCTTACAGATGAGGAGGCTAAGGCCTGAAGAAAGTTAAGGAACACGAGGCAGGAGTTGGTAAGAGGCAAGGCTGGCATTAAACCCAGGTGTCAAGTTCGCGAATCCGTACTTTCTCCCAGAGTGATAACCAGGGTAGCGTGAGCAGAGCCTGACCCGCACCCCCACACAAAATTTAGAGACCACATATATAGAGATCGCATATACCTTTTGTGTGATCTCTAAACTTTACATACATACAGACATGTGTATAATGATTTTTAAAAGCTGTTCATTTTTTTAATTCGTTGCATTTACGTGCTGAGGGTGCATACATTAGTTCAGCAGTCAGAAACACCTGAACCTGCCACCGGTTATCCAGAAGAATTAGTTACACAAGAAGCTGCCTGCTAGCTCTAGTTGTTCATCTCTGAACCACGTAATGCATTACACAGCTGAATTTCCAGCCACCGTTCGTGCCCAGAACCAAAATCATTTGTTGTGCCCGCCGTCGCTCACAGTATCTCAACTCTTCCTCCTTCTACCCAACAGGCCCCGTGCAGTTCACAAAACTGCTTACTTTGGCCTCTCCGGGAAGCTGTTCACTCTCAGGTTCACCCCCCTCGGCACAGACATGTTCGAGCTGAGCTGGGGACGCATCTCACCAAGCTAGTCCCACCCCACCCCCGCCCCCATGCAGTTCGGTCCTTAGCTCATCATATTCAGGCCGTTCTCGTGAGATCATTTCATCTTTCTGAGCCTCCGTTTCTCCTGTTCCCGACCCCGCAGGGTGTCTGGGGATTTCGGTGTGAAAAGGAAATGAGAGAGTTGCCTGGCACGGTACTTGACGTGCGTGGAGGGCTCAGTGCCTGTTCGCTTCTAGTTTGTTTCCACTTCCAAATACATATTTCCTCTCATCTTGTGATTTATAAAATATATTTATGCCTTATTAAAAAGTTGCCGCAGGGTCCCCTGTAAATTCTGCACGCTCTCCGTCTTCTCACTCTCACTTGTGCTTTCACACCCCTCAGGACCTAGTCAGTCATTTGCCACGGGTGGCCCACGGGCTTTCAGAGCCCAATCAGTAACCACAGCTTCATTGAATGGAATGAGTCAACTTCCCCTTCTTTGTTTGCTGAAGGTCTTTGAAACAATGTCTCTCTGGCTTTTCTCTCTCCCTCTCCTCCAAAATCATGCACTAGGTTCCCAGGCCTGGCAGCAGTCCGTGGCTTCGACCTTGGACACTTACCTCGTCATCGAGGACCTCAGTCCTGGGAGTCCTTATCAGTTCCGAGTCAGCGCCAGCAACCCCTGGGGGATCAGCCTTCCCAGCGAGCCCTCGGAGTTTGTGCGACTCCCCGAGTACGGTGAGTCCCGGCCTTTCCCTGCACCCCAGGCGGGGGAGGCCAAGGCACCGGGGCGGCTCACCCAGTCACGGGTGCCTGCTGGCCGTTGGCATGGCAGGCCACCATGCGAGGGGAACCTGGATTTGCCAGTGGTTTCAGTCAAGTAATATTTCAGAGACCTGAAGAAAAGTGTGATTTCAACTGTCTTGGAGCAAAAGTGAGGTCAGCCACCCATGTTTACCTGGGGCCTGCCAGAGTCCCTGGGCCCCCGCGTGTGTCCCCAGGAACAGAGAGGGGGGCAGGCAGGAGTCATGAGTCACGTGGATGCTATCTGCCCCTTTTCCTACTTGGGAACGCCAAACCTCGTCTCCCTTGGGAACCAAACCTCGTCTCCCTTGGGAACCCCTGCCAGGTGTAAGTGTGCCTCGAGGCATCAGAGACAGCCCTGTTCACCAGTTTAAGCTGGGGAGAGGAAAGCAAGCTGTTTGAAAGGTTTGAATCAAAATGAGTATTAAAAAAATTTATTTGAGAGAGAGAGAGAACACAAGCAGGTGGGGGCCAGAGGGAGAAGCAGACTCCCGGCTGAGCCGGGAGCACCATGTGGGACTCGATCCGGAGACTCTAGGATCATGACCTGAGCCAAAGGCAGACCCTTAACTGACTGAGCCTCCCAGGCACCCCTCAAGGTGGATATATTTTTAGGTGGATATGTTGAGTAATTAAGATACGCCTATAACTAGCTACACGTGAGTATTTTACAAATACCACCTATTCCCTGTCTCACCAAACCCCCTTGGTCCTAAGAACATTTTGAAAGAGGACACCTGGGGCTCCTGGGTGGCTCAGTTGGTTGAGTGGTTGTCTTTGGCTCGGGTCATGATCCCGGAGTCCTAGGATCGAGTCCCACATCAGGTTCCCAGCTACACAGGGAGTTTGCTTCTCCCTCTGACCTTCTCCCCTCTGACGCTCTCTCTTATTCTCTCTCTCTCTCTCAAATGGACAAATAAAATATTTTAAAAAGAGAAAGAAAGAAAGACACTTGTTAGCCTGAAGAAATCTCCAAGTAGTGAGAGGTGTTCCGTGGTACAGGAGTGGGCTGTGTGTGATGGGGTGAAGGAGGAGGTCACGGCCCTGCAAAGACAACAGACCCATGTGTCTCTGGGTTAAGGGGATCCCAGAGTCTCCAGAGGGGCTTCAGAAACCTTCTAGGGCCTCCAGCTACAGCCCAGCCCCCGCCACCCCCGCTGACTCTGGAAGTACTCCCCAGCCTGCCCCAGCCTTGCTCCGTTGGACCCATGACACTGGGAAACCTTGGCCCTGGGCCTCAGAATTCAATATAGATAAGGCACCTGAGTGTCAGCCCCACTGTGCTCTGGGCAGCCTGAGGTGGCCCGGGTCAGAAGAGTTGCGCTGCTGGCGTGCTCCTCTTCTCCTAAGCCACGAACTAAATTTTGCCTCATGTCTTCCTTCTTGCAAGCCTTGGTCCCAAGAGACAGAACAAACATATGTTGGTGCACATGCTTTACATGGGCACACGTGTGTGGGTGTGTGTGGGTGTGTGTGTAAATCATTGCCAGGGAATTAACACCTCAAATAAGGTAATGCTGTCAAATATTGTGCTCAGGCCTGTATTTTGGGTTAAGCTACACCATTCGATATACCAGCTAGGCTCTCACTGTCTGAGGCAGCGGGGTGACAAAGACAAGTGATTAGGATGCTCTGAGCCCGTTCCCCTCCTTTCCTCCTCTGGGCCTTGTAACTCTCCCCCTAGCTGCCGCTGCATCCCTCCTCGGCCCTGATTCTCACTGGCTTTTCTAGGCCTTCCATGTGTTTTTCTCTCTCTCTTTTAACTTGTTCTACCAAATTTCTATTTTAAAATATCCAGAGGTTACATCTCTGATTGTCCCAAGTTTTCTTTTGTTTATGTAGATGGCACAGCACTAGTGGTGGGGGTGGAGGGATATGACTCTGTCATGTCGGCTTCCCCTTGGATGATATTTTTAAAAATAACATTTCAGAGAATCCTGGCATTTTCCCATGATTTAGACTCCATATTTGGTCACGAGAATGCTTTGGGGCAAAGGAGGAGCTTTTCTGTTAATCTTTTCTTTATTCTTATATGACTTCCTCAGTATCATAAATGGATTCTCTCTCTTCCAAAGATGCCGCTGCTGATGGTGCCACCATTTCTTGGAAGGAAAATTTTGATTCAGCTTACACTGAGCTGAATGAAATTGGAAGGTAATGACTCCGTTTTCTATTCCTTCATTCATGGGCTCTTATCATCATCATATCAGAATAATGACTTGCTTTTCCTATTGTTTGTTTCTCCTCACTAAGTGTATTCCCTCTTTAGTAAGAAAAAAAAAACAGAATATTTTTGTGTATTTTTACTGCTCTTTTTTTTAAAAAAGCTTTTTAAGTTAGATGCTTCACTCATAACTGTCAGCCTTTCTTCTATTCTAATATAAGAATTTAAGCCTTTTCTTCAAATTACAATTTTAGTTACGTCTCCTGAGTTCTGATATGTGGCACTTTCATTATCATTCAGTTCAACTATGATTTTTTTTTGACCTAATAGTAATAGAAATACTTTAAAATTTTCAGCTGTGTGAGATTTTCCCAAATCATCTTCGTCTTACTGATGTCTAACTTAATTACATTGTAGTTGAAGAACTTGATCTATGTGATACTGACTCTGACTTTTGCTGGGACTTGCTTTATTTGCAGTACCTGGTCAGTTTTTGTTCGAAGTTCCATGTGTTCCTGAGAAGAAGGTATAATCACTAATTACTGGTTCAGGTCTCCACATATGTCCATATGTCAAGCCCAACACACTGTTTTATGGATATTTGTAGTCCAATCCCCCCTACGCATACCCACACACTCGGTCGCACAATTTATCTCTATTTTGAGTAGAAAAGTGTCCTCAAAAAAAAAAGATAAAAATATGACTTTTAACAAAACAATGAAAAAAAAATCTATCACCTGTCCCATAAAATAGCTGATAGAAAGAAACAAAAAAGAGGTCATCTCTGTGTGTGCATTAGTTTGCACGTGGTCTAGGTGAGAGGGTGGGGAGTTTTTACAAGTTCCCCCACCCACTGAATGTATAAAAAAAAAGTACCCACTAACGGTGGGCTGTTACCATCATCTCTTTGATTGATGTCTCTCAATGAAGCACAACTTTTCCTGAGTAGGGTGGTTATGACAGGGGTTGTGGAAAGAGCCCAAATGTTTGCTATTCCCATTTCTTAGGCAGGAATCACAATGTCATTCACGACCTTTCACCATAATACCCTCCATCAAAAACCAACTTTCGTTCTCCTTTCACTCTTCTTTGTGTGGCCAGAGGGAGAAAAAGGCCAGTGGAAATTTACATGGTGTTGGATGATGCTTATATTGTGTTGCAGATACTATGAAGATATTATACGAGAGGCATTTAAGTGTAATTCTTGCCACATTGTGAGTAGATTCCCAGGAAAGGAACCCAGGCTTGGGGAGTTAAGTAACTTTTTCGAGGTCTTGGCAACCACTAAGTGTAGAACAGTCAGGATTCCAACCCTGGCCTACCCAATTTTTAAGCCTGTGTTTGTTTTACTAGCATATGTGATTTCTCAGTACAGCAGTTTTTGTCAAAAATAAGCTCTAGCCATTGAAATCTAGTCTGCTCCATTATATTCAACTTTTGTGAAGTTCCACATGACTCTAGTAAGGAATCGACTCCACTCCTGGTTCTAAAGGAAACTAGTTGTATGGCTCAGATGCTACAGTGATTTCCTTCCCCAGACATGCATTTGCTATTGAGAACCAGAGGCGAAGGCATGTTTTACCTAGAAGAGATGGATGTTTTAGTATTTCCCAAAGGGGAGCTCAAGTTTATGATCTGTTCAGGGCAATGATGTTTTTGTTTTTGTTTTTCAAATCTCATCCCCAGCCATCTGAAGCTTTTCCTCTCCTCCAAGTACAGTCCTCCTATTTTCAAGAGCTCCTTTAAAAATGCTGCATGGGGGCACCTGGGTGGCTCAGTGGGTTAAAGCCTCTGCCTTCGACTCAGGTCATGATCTCAAGGTCCTGGGATCGAACCCTGCATCAGGTTCTCTGCTCAGCAGGGAGCCTGTTCCCCCCACCCCCGCCTGCCTCTCTGCCTACTTATGATCTCTCTCTGTCAAATAAATAAATAAAAGGCCTGTCTGCTGGAAGGTTCTGCTGCCCCCAAGTGTGCCAGTGTCCCAGAGAAGAGAGGCGCTCCGTTTTACCCTGTCTAGAGAAGGGACCCCAGCCTTTTCCTGCATGGGGAGAGACGATCCTACAGAGGCCTCTGCTGGGGAGGAGATCTGAAGCAACAAGCTCTCACACAGTTTCAGCCACTCCTTCCCATGTCAGCATCCTCTTTACACTGGTTTACAGAGCTACTTGATGCGGCCAATTCCCCAGCCTTCTGGGGATTCTGCTGCAAAAGTTTCACTGGCTCTCACTTGACCCCACGACTGATTTGGACTGAGTTCCTCAGGTCTCCTAGGTCATTTGTCACTCTTTCACTTGTTTTCTGCTTTGAATGTGTTTTTAGAGTATCTCTTCTTCCCGTGTCCTCACCCTTACATGCCTGATTGGAAAAATTCCTTTAGTGGAGATTCAGTGAAGTCTCAGGATAGTGTGAAAACAGATGGCTGGGTTCAACCTTCCATCCTTGCCTGGAGGCCTGGCCCTGCTATCTTTTTGGATCCTGTACAGGTCACCAGTCCGCATTCCCAGGGGACAACTCTCTGGCATCTTCCCATTGCTGTGGTGCCCGTCTCGTTTATTTCCAGTAAGCTTGCCATGCTCAAGTGCTCTTTCCTTCTGTAGATAGACTTTAGGAGTGATGATATTTCTTTATGCACCATGGTTTTTAAACTACTTAATTACCAGAGAGTTATTTTTAACAAGATAGTCATATAGGCCTATAAGTCTAGGTTTAAGTCCAATGGAGAAAGCTGACTCACATCTATGGCCTGTAGATACCTGCGGTATGTCTCACATCAGTATCTACATGTTTTATTTCCCTTCTGTTTATGTGCAGCATTTTTTTAAAAGATTTTATTTATTTATTTATTTGCTTCACTCTTACTACCTCCTACTGGGCTACAGCTGAGTCTGGGAACCATTCTATTCTAGATGTGGCTAATTTTGTCAGATGTGAAGCTGGCATGCTGGTTATATATACATTTTTCAATGTCCTTGTCAGTTAGAAATGACTGAAGTATTTATGAGTGAAATAACATGGTATCTGGATTTTGCTAAAAATACCACGGGGAAAAAAAGGCAAGAGGTAAGAAAGAAAGGGATGGAATAAGGTTGGCAAAATGCTAATAATGACTGAAGCTGGCTGCTGGCTGCACAGATCTATTATACTATTCTCTCTACTTTTGTGTATATTCAAAGTTTCTGTCACACCAAGATAATAAATATAAAAGGAAAAAATTGCCTCTTTAAGAAATGTTTTTGAAATGATCATAGAGTAGAATTCCTCCTTCTTGCACATTATTATTACCGTTGTATTTTACAGAAATATACTCCGCTTAGAAAACTGAACCTGTGGTTGATATTTCGAAGCAAGAGAGAAATCTGTTGACTAAAATTGATATGAGTTTTTTGCATCTCAGAGATTCCTGAACTGCTAAGGCAGGAAACACGGCTTTTCTTGAGAGATCACATGATCATTTCAAAATAGGAAAGTAGGATTCCTAATAAGTGTAACTGTCTAACCACTTCAGAGAAAACGTTACAGATCCTTGAATAAAATAATACCTGGTTGATGGAGGAAGCTTCGCAAAATGCTTTCTGTCTTCCGCTCTCCAGAGGCCGTTTCTCCATAGTGAAGAAGTGTATTCACAAAGCTACGCGGAAGGACGTCGCGGTGAAATTCGTTAGCAAAAAAATGAAGAAAAAAGAGCAGGCTGCCCACGAGGCTGCCCTGCTTCAGCACCTGCAACACCCCCAGTACATCACTCTCCATGACACCTATGAGTCCCCCACGTCCTACATCCTGATTCTGGAGCTGTAAGTACAGGCGTCTTGGTCGTCTCCAGTGTCTGGGTTCCTTCGCACCCCGCCCCCAACAGCGGTTACTTTCTATACAATGTCTTGCTATGTACCGAGTGTTGTAGGTCATGTGCGATCTCCCGTCTGTTTTATAAAAAGGTGGTTCCCATTTACAGATTAGAAAAATCAAGGGTAAAGAAGGTCCTTATCACTAGGAAATGGAGAAGCTGGGACTTGAACCTGTGTATCTCTCTCCCTCGGATTCTCATGTTCTTTCTACTATGGACTCTTGGGCTGGACAGGGGTTTAGGAAGACTGTATGGACCCTAGGCTTGTTGACAGGGGTGGGGCTGAACTGAAAGGGGGTTTGTGCATCAACCCACTGACGTGGCAGCCATGATCTCCCACCTAAGAAATTCCTTTTAAAGTGGAACCTTGACCTTCAAAATATTCCACTCATTCCAGATTTTCTAGGAACTCGGGCATCTCCATACTTGGCCCTAGAACACATCCAATAAAGCACATTCTGCCCCGCTACTACCCCAGGCTAAGAACAGAGATCGTGTCCTGTGGTTCACAGAGATCTAACAGAGGCTAAAGAGAACAGAGTCCTCTCAGGAGGACGGAGCCCTCATAGAGACGTCATCAGATGCATGCTGATGACCCTGCCCCAAGACCGGTGCCACACATGTCTCCCCGGGAGCCTCTGTCCAGAAGAGAAGCACCTCCATGTACAGCTTTCCAGCTGTCATTTTACTGTGACTCTTGTGTGCTTGTTTGTCTAAATGTTTATGGATGAGGGCCTTTGAGGCAGTCCTCTATAAATTTATTTATGTTGGAAAAAAGACAGCCAAAAAACAAACATCTTCGGCTACATTTTTTAATTCGTTGAAAAGAAACAAGAGAAGATGGAACCAACTGTATTAATATTTGTACATCTTTTGTGATACATTATATAGCTGTATAGTAGTAGATCAATTGTCACTTTGGATTTAACGAAGACCCTTACAGAGAGCCTTCCAGAACCTAATATCAAGTGCTTATACAAGTATTATCACTTGTATATCAAGACAATATGGCGGACCCAGAACCTTAGCCCCTTCAGTTTCACCAGCTTGCATCGTTCTGGGGGAAGGTGCTGATTACCAGGCTGCCTCGGTGCAATGGAAGGAAGCCATTCTTGGAATGAAGAGCCTGGGCGCTCATCCCAGCTCTGGGATTTGGGGGCAGGGTCTTTAGATTCCCGGGCCTGGGGTCTCATCTGTGAAGTCTGAAGAATTATTTCCACTTCTCAGAGACATTACAGGGATTAAATGAGGTGAATAGTGGATTGAGTTAGTTTAGCAAACGTTTACTGAGCACACCCTGTGTGCCTACTGCTGGGAGGACCTAGGCTAGGATGGAAGGAACAAAGGTGAAAAGGGGTGGTTCTTGCCCTCGAAGAGTTCAAAACCTGATGAGGAGGACCAATCCATAAGTGATGATTTTAGCTGAACATGGTAAGTGCTGAGAAAGAAATGCGTTTTGAAGAGGGTTGCTGTGAGAACATAGGAAGTTGTTTGTGGGACTGGAAATTCAGGAAAGATGAGTGGACAGACAGTGCCCAAGGTAAACCCTGTGCTAAATCTTGGTTATGCTGTGACCAGAGGTCCTCCCTTTGGTGGCCATCTAAATCCCTGGTAGAGTTTTTCTCTGCTAGGCAACAGAGGTTCTGATGGCCTAGGCTAGGGTGAGGCCCGGGCATCTGCATTTCCCAAAAGCTCTGAGGGTGGACTTGGTATGAGGGCTTGCGGGTCTCGGAGCAGCACAGCAAGAAGCACGGGGGGGAGCATCTCACAAACCCAGGCCCCCTCCACTCCATGCTCATCCCTCCCGCCTCACCCCCCGCCAGGTCCTAGGCTTTGCTCCTATCAAGGAAAGCAGGAGAAGATAGCAGGGGGAAGGACCATGCTAGAGGAGAGAATGGAAACCTGACTGGGGTGGAGGGAGATCAACTGTGCTCAAAGGTGGTTTCTACCTCTGGTTCAAGTCTTTCCCGGGGATGTACCTTTGACAGCTCAGTGCACATTGGACTAGCAGTCTGACATTTGGTCACTCCAGATGCTCAAGAGGGTACAGGGGACCTGAAAACACTACTGAGCACTCAAGCTGCTACTGATTAGGCATACCGCTTGACTCTTACACAGCCCCCGGGGTGAAGTCAGTCTTATTGCTTACTCCCAGTTTAAAGATGAAGAAACCAACACAGGGTTTAAGCGACTTGTCCCAAACCCCCAGTCTGTAGCTGGCAGAATAAGGACTCAACTCTGAATCTGGCTGGCTCCCCCTATCGTGTTCTCAGTCATGGTTTTTAAGATTGGAAAATTGCTCACAAGGCAAAGGGTCCCGAAAAGGGTCAAGAATGCCGAGGACAAACTTTTCCCACTTTCCATTTTCCCCAGCTAAAAACTGACAAATAAAAGCAATTTGCAAAACATATTTGCAGGCGTAGAGCCACCAGGTTCCAGTTAACCGAATATTGAGAGAGAGCGCGCTCTCCTTTCTCTCTCCTTCGAAGACTTTCTGTGTTTTGCCAACTAATCTCTTAAAGAGGGGTCAGACCTCTTTCCTCGTGAGCGGTTTTTAACTTTAACAACGTAGAATGTGTCTTAAGGTTACCCATGTTTCTTCTGTGGAGCATATCACATGGTAACTTTTAAATTAGCTTGTTAATTTTAGTTCTGAACATTAATTTTGGGTTCTAACTAAAATACACATGTGTGGGAACATCGATCTTCATCTATAAGCAAGAACAGGAGAGATTCTGGAGCTCTGACCAATCAGTATATGTTATTTTTCCATTTCTTTACAAACATATTTCCTTGACCGATTCCTCCCTGATTTCAGGATGGACGATGGCCGGCTCTTAGACTACCTTATGAATCACGATGAGCTGATGGAAGAGAAAGTCGCTTTCTACATCCGGGACATCATGGAAGCTCTTCAGTACCTCCACAACTGCAGGGTGGCCCATTTGGACATAAAGGTAATAAGCAAGAACTGCACTTGCACGGAAGTGGCCAAGTCCAGCCTGTCAGTCATTACCCTTGGGGAGGTCCATTCTGATTCATTTTAGGTACTTGGGTTAGAATCCTGACAAATTTTAAGACAGGAACTAGGTCGTCCCACAATTCCAGTGTGTTCTTTGTGAATTAATGAAAACACCAAGAGTCACCATGACATCTGGGGTGAGGGAAGGTCGGGAAGATCTTCCCGCCTCATCTAACATTTTAGAAGGAAGCCAATAGATGTCAGGTTTTTGTTTGTTTGTTTCTTTTTAATTAAGTAAGTCTTGATTTCTTTTTTTCTTTTTTAAGATTTTATTTATTTATTTGTCAGAGAGAGAGAGAGTGTACAAGCAGGCAGAGTAGCAGGCAGAGGCAGAAAGAGAAGCAGGTTCCTCACTGAGCAGGGAGCCTGACTCAGAACTTAATCCCAGGACCTTGAGATCATGACCTGAGCCAAAGGCAGCCGCTTAACCGACTGAGCCACCCAGGTATCCCAAATGTCAGTTTTTTATGGTGCCCAAGAGAAGCCCCTGTTTTCCAAAATGAATAACCCACTCTTTTTTTTTTTTTTTTTTTTGAGTCAGTGCAGAAGTAAGGGATAGTTGAGAAGACATGATTTTTAATGTCAGACAGCTTCTCTGAAACATTACCCCAACACAGAATTTAGTCTAGTTTGTAGGCCACCAGGCACTTTGCATAGGCAATTTCTCGTGCTCTATAGGCTTTCCCAAAGACTAGCAGAACTATGTCTGAACCACGAGAGTCGTACTGGTAGACAAGACAGAGAGCTCAACTTGCCTTCTCTTCTCCCTCCCGCCTGGGTCTCCTCAGCCCGAAAACCTGCTCATTGACCTACGCATCCCAGTGCCTCGGGTGAAGCTCATTGACCTGGAGGACGCCGTCCAGATCTCGGGTCACTTCCACATCCACCACCTGCTGGGGAACCCCGAGTTCGCTGCCCCAGAAGTGATCCAAGGCATCCCCGTCTCCCTGGGCACAGACATCTGGAGCATCGGGGTTCTGACATACGTCATGCTGAGTGGGGTGTCCCCCTTCTTGGACGAAAGCAAAGAGGAGACCTGTATCAATGTGTGCAGAGTGGACTTCAGCTTCCCGCACGAATACTTCTGCGGCGTGAGCAATGCCGCCAGAGACTTCATCAACGTGATCCTGCAGGAAGACTTTCGCAGGAGGCCCACGGCAGCCACGTGCCTGCAGCACCCCTGGCTGCAGCCCCATAACGGCAGCTACTCCAAGATCCCCCTGGACACCTCCCGCCTGGCGTGCTTCATAGAACGCCGCAAGCATCAGAACGACGTGCGGCCTGTGCCCAATGTCAAGAGCTACATCGTCAACCGGGTCAACCAAGGGACGTAGCCGTCTCCTCGCCCTTGGGGTTCCACGTGGAAGTGCAGTGTGAACCAAAGCAAGACTGAATGTCTGTAAATAGTTCTGTTCGTTCGCTCCACGCAGTTCTCTGGCTTGAGAGACAGACCTCTTCAACCTTGTCCGTGGCTATTCAGGGTCTGGGCAGCGGCAAAATTACCCTCAACCCAAGGGCTTTCCAGAAGGCCATTAGAAGACAAAGATGTGAAGAGTCACCTAGAGCGTTAAAGAGAGGGGGCAAGGATACCAAGAATATGAGCCGTTATGAAATTTTAACAGTGAGTTCCACAACGGGCGGTGAACTGGGCAAAGCAGCAGCTCGAAGTAGTGAGCGCAAAAGGTTTCTAACCCTGCTGAAATTGGAAGCAAGAAAGTTCTATTTAACAGAGATGTCACGTATGTCCACTCTTCTGGTTTAGATTACTTCAATATAGTTTCTTAATAGCATTCACATATACAGTAAAATAGATCCCATTCGGGTTTCAGAGTTTTATAATATAGAGGTATATATGACATCGATCCTAAGTAACTTTGAGCACTCCGATTAAGACAGTCCTTTATTTATCGAAGCATTACATTGTTTTGACTAAGCACAATAAGACGACAAGTTTTTTAGAGCATTTTATAAATCTTGTATAGAAATCTCTTACCAGAACCCATGCATTAAGAGAAAGCAATGTTACCCTTCTGCAATCTGTGAATGAGAAGCTTTTTCTCTCAGTCACAAGTATCTGATTAACATAGGTTCTGTATATGAAATGCTACCCCCAAATTCACTGGCAGCTCAGAGTTTATCTGGCAGGAAAGCCTGCCAGGAAATAAGTCCAAATACAGTTAAGAGTTGTGGGGCTATTTTTATGTCTACACTCAGTTTGAACTAGGTAATGAATAAAACAGGTTCACACAAAAGGGCAAATAGAAAACTTTCCTACGGTTCCTATGAACAACGTTAACAACACTTTCTGACTTCTTCTACAGCTGTAGAAGGCAGTCCTCAGAAAGTTGGCTTGCTTTATTTCTAACCCCTTCTGGAAGCTGAGGGGTGCTTACCAAAAGGAGGCAGCCATATAGGCCTTTAAAGGCCTGGTCCCAAGTCCTTTTTGAAGCCATGGAATAAAATCTGATACATCACTCGGACAGAGCATTGAGTTTTAACTGTGATTGCCGTACTGGTCACCACACAGCCGCTGACATTTCTCTGGACCAAAAGGACTAATTGCACTTTGAGGCCAATGCTGCTTTCTGGTGCGTATTCTCCACACAAGGTGATTATGAACTGCCCTTTTCCCCCCACGCTGGTGGAAAACAAACAAACAAAAAAATCAGCCTGGGCATTTCATGGTTGTTTTTCTTTCTTGGTTTCTGGGGAAATTTTTTTGTGTTTTTTTTTTTTTTTTTTCCTGTTGGTCCATGATCCACGCTTTGTTTTCTAGGATGTGTTTTGAAAATTGCTATTATGCAAAATTACTTTAAAAACGTAACTCAAGTGTGTCCTCAAATCAGGTTTAATGGCGCTGCTTCTCTCCTATAATAGGGTTGAGAAAATTGTGCAAGCAGAGAGTTTATGAGGGATAAATAGAATTACACATCTATCTAAATGAAAAGGATAGTAGACATTAAGCCTGAACTTTAATATATAAAAACCCTTATTCCCACAGTGGAAATGTAAAATTAAAAGTACCTGTCTTTCTTTTCCGTCTGTTTCAGAGTCACCTTCCTCATCCACACTCCAGCTCATCCCATCCGAGACTATAGATTAATCAATTAGTAAGAAGTACAAGCAATAAGACTAGGTAGCACTTCGTATTTTTAGGATTAACCAAATACGTGGAAACTGATTTCATCTGTATTTGGTTCCTAGTTTGGGATGGCCCTGGGTCACCAAGGCACCCTCCCTCAGAGCCCGCCCCTGACTAACCCTCCTAATCTCCATTTAGCTCTACATGTATATACAAATGCTATCTGATATGATATTTTAAAATTTAAAACATATTTACTAAAAAAAAATTTTTTTTTAGTAAACATGTGTTCATTGTGAGCTCTAGCCTAAAAGAAGAACGCCTGGTCCCTAGGGCTGGTCACGGGACAGAGGGCAGGTGCTGAGGATTCCAAATACCCATGGAGTGTGGCTTGGCAAGGTCTGTTTCGTCCACTGTGCGCAATGACTAAAGAACTCCCTGCTGAGTCTTTTCGAGTTTTTATGACTATGGAAGAGATAGGCTGAGTTTCTGCTGGAGAAGATTAGGGCCTCGGACAGTGGTGCACAGAGGACACAGGAGAACATTCACGAAACCGTGTTGTGGGAAGGCAGCTGACGGATTGTTAGAGCCAAAGCTTTTATATCAGCGTCTCCATGAGAGTTGGGACAGCCCAGGTGTGGGGTTGTGCAGAATCTCCCCTCCCCCCTAGGACACATGTTGGGGAAGTGAGGAGATGGGAGAGGTGAGACATGGAAATGCAAAGTAGTATGATTCTGTTAACCGGAGCCAAAGTACAATCATTAGAGTAGAATTAATTTAATAGACACCCCAAGAAAAAAGGGCATGTATTTTATATAGCCTGGTCACTGAAGAAAACTAACAGAGAGGTGTCCTGTCTCCAAAGCCCCTGCTTCTTCCCCAACAGGAGTAAGATAGCAGTCCTGCTTTGAGAATGCTCCTCAGCCAGTTGGAAAGAAAAAGGAATCCCCGAAAGTGGGGCTGGGAAAGGTACTTGAGGTTGCTGTGTGGGTGACCGTAGTGAGGGATGAAGGATTAGAAACCAGTTTCTTGTACCTGTTTTCGCAGATAGTTATGACTTTGTGGTAGAGAGACGGGGAGAAGAGAAAATGGTCCACGTCTGCCATATTGTCATAGTTCTTGAAATCAAAACTGAACTAGGAATTAGTGTGAACTTCCAGCTGAAATGGGAAAAATTAATGTCAGTTAAAGTCATAAGTTTCTTGCCTGGCTTATATTCTTTGCATAGAGTTTGGGGTTTGTTTTGTTTTGTCAGGGTGGGATGCAGAGAGAAGGAAAAGATCAGGGACAACTCATATTAATTTTTCTAAAGATTTAATGATTTACTGCATCTTTTACATTTGTTTCAAATTAAATAGATTTATATCCACGTACAGCTGAATGTTGGGAAAATTTTTAAGAAAAAAAAAATTGTAATGTTGGAGGATGTCCTTCTGGACTCTCACAGCCATAAACACTCTTGGGGGAGTAGAGGGAGCAGAGGGAAAGCTGGCTTCACCACTTTGTTGTTCACAAAGCCTTTATAAATAGTAGTGCCTTTCAGAGGGGAGGTTGGGAGATAAAGAAGTTCATTGTATTTAGATTGACTGATACTGCAGCATTTTTTTTTATGTTAAAATATCTTTTAAATGAAAACATCTGGATATAGGGTGAGGCCAGGAATTCTTGAGTTTCAACCTCAGCTATTCCTGATTCGTCCTTTCTTACAGAAAGTCTTTGTTTTTTTTCTGTCCCAAATGTCCTCATTGTTAAAATGGGAAGTGGGGGGAAGGAGGAGGGACTTTAATCTCATAGGAATGTTGCAAAAATAGCATAGTTGGGATGTCTAAAGAATACTTTGATTTTCTTAAAGTGCTACACACTGCCAGTGCTGAGAATTTTATTAACAGTAACTTTGAACATTCTGAGTTTTCAGAATTCATATTTTAGGATACCATTTGCAAACTCATGAGATTAAATTCTGTAAATTGATTTTAATTGGAAGTACCAGGTGCTCTTTGTCTAAATGTTGTTTGGTCTTAGCCTGTAATTTCAGTCATTTGAAAGCTTGTCTACAGACAAAGGTTAGGAGAGGTGATGGTCTTACAGGAATAAGCTGTTTTCTCCGGTATTTCTGATGGCAGAGCCAGAGTAGAATGCCCTGCAAAGCGACTGCTGCTCTCTCTTCTCAAGCTTTATGCTCTGGAAAAATTGATGGAGAAGAACTCAAACAGCCACTTTCCTCACTGGAAGGGCAGAAATGAGAATAAACTACTGTTTGATATCACAACTCATTTCTTCAGAATCTCACCGGCATCCATTATAAGAGACAAATTATATGCACAGGTGCAGAAATGAATTGAACTGCTGAATTTTGGAGGGAAAACCTTGGATCTTTTTTTTTCTTTTTAGGATAATTAGATGTTTCAGGGGTAGCATATTTGCTTTCCCATACTATCCATGATTTAATGCCCAAGAGTTAGGCATTCCTTGTTTGCTTGCCTATGTAAAAGAGCAGGGAAATTTAAACTTGCGAGAACATGAGGAAGCAAAGGCATTATAAATTAGATGGTGGTTATCTCTGCATATTAACTAAAACTTTGTCCCACAAATTTGATAGAGGAGGAAATACTACAGACCTAAAGGGTCTCTGTAGTAAGGCAAAAGTGCCAACTCACCACTTCCTTGTTCAGTTTTGAGGAATGTGGTCTTTACTCCTTTTTCTCCTGTGTAGCATCTCTGTGGAGTCTGGGTTAGGCTAACATAGTATGTGGGCTTCCAATGAATTTATTTGCATTATGGCTTTTCTATTTACTATTTAAAGTCTAGGGATCTTTTGGAAATTAATAATTAAATCTGGGGTGGATTTAGAAAAGACAAGGTTTATATATACTCCACTAAGAAAAGGAAAGCTACTGTGTTAATATTTATTTTCTAAAAACTGTAAGGCTCTCAGTTGTTTCACTATTTCTAGAGGGTTAAAAAGAGCTGAAATTTGTCTATAGCACTAGACAGTTTTAATAGAAAATATTATTCATGTGAGAAATCCATATAGAAATAGAACACAGAAATATCATAGGCCATATTTTCAAAGAAAAACATTTCTGCATTTTCCATGTTTGTAGAAGTTATAGCAGAGGAAAAAGCAATTACTCTAGGGCAAATTTTCATCTTTAAGGGACATTCTTGAAATTAATACTCATGAAAGCCTGAAATACTCATAGGCTACTGTGTTTTCTTGTCAGCCTGTTTGCTGGGAGATTCTAAAATACGATCGGGTTTCGCTTTATTCACATGATCAAGATCAACTATTTCTTCAGATAGCTGTTATTTCAGAGGGTGAGGATAGTTGAAAAAAAGGGAGAGTGATGGGGGAAAAGTGCAGATAAAATTCCTGGCGTCCCAACTTAAGCAAGCCAATTTGCTAGCCCAGGGAGAGCGAGCATTAAGAAGAGTTCCATCAACGCCTGACTTCTGTCAAGAAATGAATCCACATCCTGGAGTATTATGGGGACTTTTACCATGATCTCAGAGACTGTGGTTATGAATTTGAAGTCAGCAAAACATACATCTTCTCTTACTAACTTAAGCCATATCTGTCATCTCTTTGTCTGATTTTTTTGACCCTGGTGCTTTTACTTCTGTTTCTGCCAAACTCCAGCCTGCTCTATGGGGAAGGTGAGTAACACCAGTAGTTAGGACAAATGTGAAGACTGAAAAACTAAACATACCCGTCAGAATGAGATCCTAGTCAGAGAACGGCAGTGATCAAAGTGCAAACTGTTGGAAAATATGGATATATGTACATCTGTACATGTACATAGTGTATAATATGTATGTATATGTTCTTGCTCATATGCAGAAATCTATCCAGTTGAAGACAGCCCAGGTTGGTCAGTTTTTCTACTGGAAAACCATTAGGGCCATTCAAAACCATTAGGGCTGATGTGTGGAGTTCGAGCTTACTCAACTGGGAATTGTTTGCTGTCCTTTGAAGTCCACAAAACCAAATGAACAAAGCCTGAGACATAATGGGGCCATCGTTGAAGCTGTTTACCTAGGGTCACAAGTCTCTTTATATTTGAATTATTAATTATTTGTTTGCAAACTGCATTGGCACCTCTTGGTTTTGAGTGACCCCCTCCCCACCAAGTCTTTTGAGAGTTTGGAGGGGGCTTCTCTGGCCTCAGATAAAGGGCCTTAATCCATAAGTGGATAGGTTTCCCCATAGGGACCATTACACATATACATATAAGTACATACGTCCATCAGGCTTGTAACAATTGATTTAAAATCACTCCACAGTATTGATAAATAGCTCTATATTTTCAAGGTGCAGAAGAATTCCACAGCCTTAATTATTTCAGTGTCTTGCTGGTCTGCCTTAAGTGTATCTTCTGGGTTTTTGGTTGTCTTATTATTTTTAAATTTTTCTGCAGTTCATTTTGTATGCACACAATGTCGTTTTGTAAAGGTAGGTTGTAAATATTTTATTTGTAAGTCAAAATCACTCATGTGTAATGTTGTAAAGTGAAGACCTGCTGTCTTGTTGTTACTACAGTATATGTTATAAGTTATGGATGAAACTTCAAAATGTACATCTC